GGAGCCGGAGGAGTTGCACCAGCAGCCGGAGCTGCACCAGCACAACTTCGACTGTTGAAGAAGAGGCAGGCTGGTTTCGGTGACAATACACTGGACGTTCGAACAGACATCAGCACAATCGATATATCTGATCAGGTAATGTGCATCATCATGATCTCAATGCAGCCCTTCACTAGATCGATGTCTCCGTTAATCATATGTTGAACCTTGACGCAAACTTCTAAAAGAGTCCTCACAGAACAAAGTCATTTTGAAATGAACTAAAATCCTAGCAAAATACGGTTGAAAATTTCATTCACGTTCGGCACCTCTACCCTCTCTTCAAAACGCATTATTCATAAACAAGATGGTCTCTCAACGAGCCAGATACTTTTCATAAGATCTAATAACTTATTAGAAGATAAAATGTGCAAAAATCGGTCTGTATAAGTTCATAGTGGTGATATCGGTTGTCATTTCAGGCGTCAGCCCTACCAGCTGAGTTCCAACATCGTGTCCTACATGACGCCGGTAGCAAGGTGATCTTCCAACGAATGTACAACGGTGTCTGCATGTCACCGCTGATGATTGTGTTGATTGCTGCAGCTGCAGTGGCTGTTACCGCCATATTCGCATCTTGTTTCTTTAGTTCACCCAAAAAAGTCTAATTTCGTGCACATTTCTGATGCATTCAGCGCTAGAATCGCGGATTTTTAATAGTTACCTCATCAGACAAATACGATACACGAAGCATTCAAAACCTAATCCCAGTGCAATCCACACACGCCTCATTGCAGTATCGCATTCTATCTTCCTTCATTTGCCGTCGTTCTCTTGTCTTTCCAGTCCAACATATGACATCATATCTTGATGTCAAAGTCTCGACAAGCATCCTTCACGTACACTGCTGCCTGCTACTGTCTGTTAAATCATCAAACTTTTCTCNTTCTCTCATCGTTGAAGCTGATTACCTAAAATAGGTCGCTGCCACTTCAATATACAATTTGCATTATTGTGTTGCCCATAGGCCAGTTGAATCACCAATGAAACTTGCTTCAGACAACGCATTTGTGACGTCTTCTGGAAGCTTTTATTTTATCTGAATACAGCTCATGTTTCGAACTGTGTTTCAGATACGCCTTCTCGGGTGCTATTTTGTTCGTGAGTGAATAACGATTAACAACCGTTACCACGCTCGTTAGAATTCATCGATTATCATTATCAATTGAGTTAATTACAATTATCATCACTTTCTGTTGTAACAAAATGGTGCAGTACGATTATTGCTACGCTCTCGTCAAGAATCATGTGTTCATTATATGAAATAAATTCATTTTTGACTACTATTCTGGTTTGTGCCCACTCAAAATGTTCGTATTATCACTGTCATCAACTTTGTCATTCTAAACATCCCCTAAAGTAAATCAGTTGAGCATTCTTAATCGTAAATTCAACAAAACGGGTAACACTATTGAATATGATCAGATCATGAACGGGAACCATACATAGAACTAAAACTCATGTGAAATGATACGGATAAGAATAAAAGTGTATTGTTATTGTTATTAGATAATTGCATCGAAAGTTTTAATCGTCGATTGGGACTGAATGGCATCCAACAAACACGAATTCTTAATTGATCAAACGGTGTCACAAATAGCACCTAATGAAACGTTTCGTTTTTCATTGTAATTGAATCGGTGCGATTGAATCGGTCATATTGCATCCAAACGAATGATGGAAAGGAAAGAACAGCAAAAAAACTGCGCTAGAAATTTTCGGAGAAGATAACAAGAGAAAGGAATTATAATAATAATCATCAATCACAAAAAGAATTGGTCATTGAAAAGAACGCAAACAAATTGATAATCACTAGAAACCGGTTCGGAAATACAGTGAAGTCAATTGAATCAATCACGCAATTCGTGTGTTCCTTTCTTCCATAGAACGAATAACAATAACAATAATGGACTGCATCCTGTTTCGATTTCCATACCGATGAAACAAAGAACTTATAAGCGAGCATTTTCTTCGACCTTATTGTTCCTCTAAGATCCAATTCGATAACAATTTCATACCAATTGTAGCAGCAAAAATCGGTGTCTTAAACACTCTTATTGTAACCAAATAACTGACGTTGGAATGCAGTTAACAAAGATGTCAACTTCTGCAAAGAGTATCAATACCGAGCAAACAGTATATTTTTAAAACTGAAAATCGTCCTGATCTCACTGATCACATGGTTATATATTATGTACATTGATAGAAGTAGATTGCCGCATGTTGAAAATAGTCATGGTAAAAGTTAAAGTAATTGAAACAGATGTAACGATAATAGACACGTTTTGACTACGTTTTCTTGCGCAGCAATATTCAGGACGAAATTAAATGGGGGCCTACTTAACCGCGAAACGAAAATTTACATGAAACGATCGTTTAGGCGCAAAATGCCTTTAGCGAGACAATCGCCCCAAAAATTACGCCGAAACATTCCCTTGTAAATAATGTTGTTTAATATCGTTATCAACATTATTCGGAAATAAATATTCCTTTACGTATTTTTCTCCTTACTGTTGATATTCCAACGCAAATAAACATTGTCGAAAGGTTTTTATTATCGTTACATCCGTTTCAGTTACTTTTAATTGTGCATTAAATACTGGAATACTGGAATAATTCAATATTTCACCAGTCAACATGTTGCTTTTCTCTGATTGATATGTTGCTCAAAACTTCGAGCAAATTCATATGAACCCTATGAAATTCGATAAAAGGGCCTTGAAGGCAATATCATATGATATTTTGAGTGGAAGAACAGTTGATTGATCTGAGAAGAAACATCGATATGTTTGAAAAGTAATTTACAACACTATGAATATTACCTGAAGGCTATTTACATGTCAATCAGTTTTACGACTGACTCGTTATCAGTTGTTACCCTTCAAATGCGCAACACTTTCGTACTACCCTTTCCATATACCGGTCTATCGCAATGAGCATTGGTCGCCGCATTTCATGTTCATTACATTCTCTTCTGCACTCGAAAGGTTCGAGCAATTTTCGAATGAAAATAACGCTCGTGACGTGAACCTTTTGGAGATATTTTAAGTGATTCTTTATGATAACCATAAATAAATACCTAGAAATGTAATATGGTAGTGTATTCATAAGAAATTAGGAGTTAATTCATTTAGTTTTTTAATTTGTTACAATGATTCGTAACTGTGAAATCTTATTGTTAGTGCATTTAAATGAAGTTGAATTACCACATGCGAATTGGAAGTGTTGAATTGGCGGTTCCAGACCACTGGGCTGGAACAAGATTCGCGGAAACGTACCGAATCAATAGGCTGGCCGAGTCAAGATTTGCCGTAGCAATACTTACTGGGTCGGATCAAGACTTGCCGATCCGGTCGGGGTCGAGACTTATCGGGTTAAAATAATTTCCAGCCCGACCCGGCAAGTTTTGGTTCATCTCAGTAAGTCTTGGCTTGGCTCGATCTCACAGCTCAGTACCGGCTATTCCACAAGAACAAGCGTTGAGAATAAAAATATTGTAGAAATGGTTTTGGCTTGTGAGCTGAAAAAGAAATGCTGCGAATGCAGCGGACCAGGATATGCCAGTCCTCAAGATGCTTTTCTGAACGGTCCGAGGGAAAAGTTTTTATTTGTTACCTGTCCAAACACGGATCCATCAAAACCAGATATCATCACAACGGTCGATGTTGATCCAGCGAGCGATACTTACTGCCAGGTGAATGTGATTCGAATTTGATGTGGATATATTCAGTTCTTCGTTAACCCATCAATAACGGCTGATCTCATATTAGGAAAAAAAAATAAGTTCACTTAATCANCACCCAACGCTTTCAAATAATTTATTTTGTTCAGATAATATTGTAAAATCATTAAGTGGACGTATGCATTCAAGTGAAACTTTTCTGTATGCCTTAACAACTTAAGTTCAGAATATGAGGATAACCGACATTAATGGGAAGTAAATGAAGCGTGATCGGCATTGAAAAGCATTAATTGAATTGAATCAAAGCTTTCAGATCGTTAGTCGTGTAGATTTGCCTTATTCGGGTGATGAAGTGCACCATTCGGGATGGAATGCATGTTCGAGTTGTTTCGGTGATAAGACAGCTAAACGATCCTACCTTGTGGTTCCTTGCTTGCTGTCCTCGCGGGTCTACTTCATCAACACAACCAATCCAAAAGCACTCAAGCTTCATAAGGTTTGTGAGATAGTTTCACAATAAGTACTCCCAAATAAGAAGTGACACGTTACATTAAAATCGAACTAAAGTTAATGATGACGAATAAAATTTTGTTAATAATCCAAATTGGCTGTCAACCATAAATTGTGAGCTGATTTCAAACATAAATGACGAATGTTCTGCTACGAATTACTGATGCAACAATCAACATAACAACTGAAATACAAAGCGAGATGGTGATGAATCAACCGAAATCCTAGAAGCATGACTGAATGGAAAGTTGTTTCGATTCAAATTTATCATTTCAGGTGGTGGAACCGAACGCGTTGTTGGCTCATAACGTTAGTTTCCCCCACACAACGCATTGCCTCGCAGATGGCAACATTATGATAAGTACATTGGGCGATGCAAAAGGTGATGCTAAAGGTAAGCATGTTAATTTTTGGCAGCTTTGTGAAGCGTATAATCATAAATTGTTCCCAACTGTGGTTCCGTCTCTTCATGTTAAACGAACATAAGTAAGCCACATTCTTCGCTGGTTGATCTGAAAAAGTCGAGCACATAGCAGTTTAAAAGTAGCACAACACCAGAATAAACGAATGATCTGAAAGAAAGGTAAAAATATAAATTTAACGGATAATCATTCGATCTATCGTGTGATCATTCATTATTTATGAGCAGATTATGCTTTGAGTGTGTTGACTGATAAATTATGCGTATTCGCTGAAAATTGAATTGTAAGCAATGAGTGGCACATAAGATCAGTACACGTTCGGCAACATTTCTGTTCGTATAACATGATGTTCTTGAATTGTTGCTTTGACATATACTACCCGAACATATATACATATATATGAAGTGCTCCGGTACAGTCCCGGGAATATTGTTNTGCAAAAATTGTTCAATACAACATTCAAGGTGATTTCATTCTTGTGAATGGTAAGACATTTGACGTCGTTGACACCTGGATCGCGAAGGATTCTCAACATATACAGTTCAACTATGATTTTTGGTATCAGCCACATCACAATGTAATGGTGAGTACGGAATGGGGAGCACCATTAGCCATCCGAAGAGGCTTTCAAATGAAGGATGTGGCACAAGGTATATTATGAAGCATTGTTTTATTAAGTTTTAGTTATGAAGCATCCTCTTAAAAGATTTTAGTTATCAAGCATCCTCTTATGTAATAAGATGAGGTTAGATGAATTCACATAGTCGTGAACGTCTAAATATTAAAAGAATCTGATCGTATTCGTTCTTTGAATCACCTACGTAAAAGTAGAATGTTTGGAAAGTGAATCTCGCGAGCATTCGTTTTAACAGAGCTGTTCGCTATTTCCGCTAACCACTGTTTGATATTTCCACTGTGAAATACTTTCTGACAATCGGAAAAGTGCCAGAATGTTTGGATAGTGGAGTGCGGAGTCGAACCTTGCTTAATTGCATATCAACTGATCATACTACCATTTAGCTAAGCACATTGCCACATTTTTTACGACATCAACCAGTACACAGCAGCAAAACAATATCGCTCGTCGAACTCTCCTCGATATTCAGTCAGTGAATTAATCGGTTGGATGATCAAATGAACAGTTTTCTGCCTATTATAAACAGTTTTATTTTATGCTGCAAACTGTATGTTACAGGTTTGTACGGTAACAAAATTCATATATGGAATTGGAAAGAGCACACTCTAAAGCAGAGT